TCATTGAGGGTCTTCCTCTTTTTTGCTGACCCTCTACTTTACCAAGCATGATGTCCTTCTCCAGGGACTGGTCCCTCCTGATAACATGTCCAAAAGCATGTGAGATGTAGTCTTGCTATCTTTGCTTTTAAGGAGCATTCTGGCTGTACTTCTGAAATAGATTTGTTCATTCTTTTGACAGGTCATGGTATATTCAATATTATATATATAATCATAATATACATATAATATTGAATTTATGACTAGAGAGTAGACATTCTTATCAATGAAAAAAATATATCAGGCAGGTTTATCAAATGTGTGAGCAGCATGAAGCTTAAAGGATAATAGGTTACTTTATAAATTAGGACATAAATGATGAATTAATTCTTTAAAATGAAACCAAATAGAAATAAATATCACTTTCAGTTTGGGCCCCCAAAACAAAACCAAAAACAGCCACTGAGAACGGGATGAAGGATGCATGGCAGCAGGTTTAGAGATGTTTGAGGCTCTGATAAACTTAAGGAAAGTTAGCCACGAGAGGTGGCTATTCAAAAAGTAAGAGCATGTTTATCCAGAACTGGCAGAAATACAGTCTATAGAACAAAGCAGGAGAGAGCCCCCACTTGGCCCCATCTGTAAAATGGAGCTTACTAACCCAAGAGCTTGTGAGGATTAACTGAGATGAAATATTTAAGGCACTTTAGTGCCTGGTTCATAGCAAGTACTTAATAAAATTAAATTGTTTTATTAATTAAAATTATCCTATATCTATTAAGCTAGTAGGACATCTTTAAAAGAAACTTAACCTAATGTTGATACCTTTCTGGGAAAACGGAACATAGACACTTTGCTCTTTTTTAGTATTTCCAAAGAACAATGGATTAACATAACAGCCACAACAATGGACTGAAACATATCAACGATTATGAAGATGGCACAGAACCAGGCAACATTCTGTTCCGTTCTGCATAGGGTCACCATGAGTCAGAGCTGACTGGACAGCAACTAACAACAACAACAACAACAATTTAACAATACAAAAAAAGAATTACAAAGCAGTCTATTTCTTTGCATGGTAATTTAATTTGGAAGACTATAAAAGAAGAAAATAATCCAAATTAGGGGGAAAAAATTACGTTTTACAAAGATGTTTGTTACAAGCCTATTTATAGTAATGACAAAACAAACCAAACACTCAAAAACAAGAGCCCACTTAAGACCGTTGTGAGAAGTTGACAGTGTGGAACGCCATAGAGCAGTGGTTTTCTCGCTGCTTCCTCAGGATTCCTTAGAGGTGATACGCAGGCAACTGTGGGGAGGGCCAGAGAAGTATGGGTATGTGTTTGGGGTGGAGGTGAGAGAAGACTAACCATCCCAGATCTAACCATCCAACTGGAACAGCTCCTCTTTTGTCTATGTTATATATTGGAATTCCACCCCACCCCAAAAAAGAGTAAAGCGTTTGTAAATACGCTGACTATATCTATTAAAAAAAAAAAAAAAAAACTTTAACAGAGCAAGGTTTTGTTTTGTTTATTTTTGTTTTATTGTGGTAAAAATGTATATAACAAAACATTTGCCAATTCAACAATTTTTACATGTACAATTCAGTGACATTGATTGTATTCATCATGTTGTGCAACCAGTATCACTGTCCATTTCCAAATTATTCCACCACCATTAACTTAGGAGTCACCGCCAAGCACTGACTCCCTTTTTTCCCCTCCCTCCCATTCTTAGCAACCACTAATAGACTTTGGTCTCTACATGTCTTAGTTATTTACTGCTGCTATAACAGAAATACCGTAAGTGGGTGGCTTTTTTTTTTTTATTGTACTTTAGATGAAGGTTTACAGAAGAAATAGTTTCTCTTTAAACAGTTAATACACATATTGTTTCATGACAATGGTTAACAACCCCACGACATGTCAACACTGTCCCTTCTCAGTCTTGGGTTCCCTATTACTAGCTTTCCTGTCCCCTCCTGCCTTCTAGTCGTTGTCCCTGAACTGTTGTGCCCCATTAGTCTCATTTTGTTTTATGGAGCTGTCTAATCTTTGGCTAAATGGTGAACCTCAAGAGTAACTTCATTACTGAGCTAAAAGGGTATCCAGGGGCCATACTCTCGGGATTTCTCCAGTCTCTGTCAGGCCAGTAAGTCTGGTCTTTTTTTATGAGTTAGAATTTTGTTCTAGATTTTTCTCCAGCTCTGTCCGGGACTCTCTGTTGTGATCCCTGTCAGAGCAGTCAGTGGTGGTAGCCAGGCACCATCTAGCTATGCTGGACTCAGTCTGGTGGAGGCTGTGGTAGTTGTGGTCCATTAGTCCTTCGGAGTAATCTTTCCCTTGTATCTTGTTTTCTTCATTCTCCCTTGCTCCCGAAGGGGTGAGACCAGTGGAGTTTCTTAGATGGCTGCTCACAGGCTTTTAAGACCCCAGACACTACTCACCAAGGTAGAATGTAGAACATTTTCTTTCTAAGCTGTGTTATGCCAGTTGAGCTAGCTGTTCCCTGAGACCATGGTCCAAGTGGTTGGCTTTAACAAACAAATTTATTTATCACAGTTTAGGAAGCGAGAAGTCTGAATTCAGGGTGCCTGCTCTAGGGGAAGACTCTCTCTCTGTCTGCCAGCTCTGGAGGAAGGTACTTATCTTTTTGAGCTTCTGCTCCTGGAGGATCTTCAGGTGGTTTGGCACTTTTCTTCCCCTGTCTCTGCTTCTCTTGCCTGTTTGTTTAAATTTTTTTATATCTCAAAATAAACTGACTCAAGACACACGCTACACTAATCCTGCCTCATTAACATAACAAAGACAACCCATTCCCAAATGAGATTATAACCACAGGCATAGAGGCTAGGATTTACAACATATATTTTTGGGGACACACTTCAATCCATAACGCTGTACATTTGCCTTTTCTAGATAATTCATGAAGCCCTGGTAGCGCAGTGGTTAAGAGTTCAGCTGCTAATCAAAACGTCAGCAGTTCGAATCCACATATATATAAGTGGGAATCGTACAATATTTATCCTTTTGTGACTGATTCATTTCACTCAACATAATGTTTTCAAGATTCATCCATGTATCAGAACTTCATTTCTCTTCATGGCTGAATAATATTCCATTGTGTGTATATACCACATTTTCTTTATCCGTTCATCTGTTTATGAACATTTAGGTTCTTTCCACTTTTTGGCTATTGTGAATAACACTGCAATGCATAGAGCAGGGTATTTAGTGTTATATTTATGTAAATTTTGCAGAATATACCTTTTTATGAGCCAGGTACATCTAATCACTGTCGTTCAAAGATAAATAACCCACAGTTCCTTTCTTAGGGAACTTGATGTCTAGTCAAAGAGACCAAATTATATACTGCATGATGGGGTCACATGAAAAGCACAACACCTAAGTTGAAAGACCTAGGTTTGAATCCTGACTCTAACATTCTCTAGTTTTTTTTATCTTAGGCAAGTTAACTAATCTCTCTGAGCCTTATTTTCTCATCTGTATAATGGGATAGTGGCTGCTACCTTGCTGAATTGTTATGAGGATTCAAGATAATGTAAGTTAAGCACCTAGCACGGTACCTGGTACTTTAAAAATGTGAGTTAATGATGGCTAAGATTATTATCTTATCTTTATAATTACCCGTGTGACAAGTGTTTTAATAAATGTATAGTGTATATGTTGTTGTTGTTAGGTGCCATCGAGTCGGTTCTGACTCACAGTGACCCTATGTACAAAAGAATGAAATGCTGCCCGGTCCTGCACAATCTTCACAATTGTTGCTGTGTTTGAGCCCATTGTTGCAGCCACTGTGTCAATCCATGTTATATAGGCTATATACAATAACCATATAGGAGCCTTTAATTCTCACTTGAAAAGGAGATCAAGAATACATCTTTTTTTTTTTTTTTTTTTAAGAATACATCTATTTTTAAAGTACCGTTTTAAACATCTATAAGATTTCATAGGTGGAGAAGGACAGAAGGGCATTTCAGAAGGAAGGAACTCTATAAATAAAAGGATGACATGATTGGGGAATGATATGTAGTACAGTATATTGGTAGTACAGATATGTAGTACCAGATATGTCAGTGCATGGATGGTACAAAATCTGACTGAATAAATATTAAATAAATAAATAAATAAAACCTGGCTGAAATAAATGTTCTTATATGACCCCAAGTACTTAAATTAATTTCAAGATAGACCTGTTGAAGACTAAAAATTTTTTTTAAAATATTTAAATGAAAGATTTAAAATATCGTTTATTTCTTTCCTTCATACTATTTCTGTCATTTATAACCACAGGCACTTAGAACTGATAGTATCCCACATTAAGATTCCCTTTTATGTATGTTAGTTTAATTTGCACAAATTCAACCGATGTTGAGCTAAAGTTTTTCCCTGTGATTGACAATAGATGAATAAACAAGACCAAGAACAAAGTTATCAAATGTCATTAGGACGTCTCGTTCTTGTATCCATATTGTTGCTGTTGTTAGACACTGGTCGGTTCTGACCCATAGCGACCCCGTGTACAACAGAAAGAAACACTGCCCAGTCCTCTGCCATTCTCAGGACGGTTGTTACGCTTGAGCACATTGTTGCAGCCACTGTGTCAGTCCATCTCATTGAGGTCTTCTTTTTTGCTGACCCTCCATTTTACCAAGCATGATGTCCTTCTCCAGGGACTGATCCTTCCTGATACCATGTCCAAAGTATGTGAGACGAGGTCTCACCATCCTTGCTTCTAAGGAGCATTCCGGCTGTACTTCTTCCAAGACAGATTTGTTTGTTCTTTTGGCAGTCCATGGTGTATTCAGTATTCTTTGCCAACACCACAACTCAAAGGTGTGAATTCTTTGGTTTTCCTTATTCACTGCCCATTTCTCGATGGCTACTAATCACAAACAAACGTGGCTTTTCTTGAAAGCAGATGGGAAGGATCTCTATCTCAAGATAACTTTATATGTATTGTATATTCATTTGAGGTCATGAAGTCAGTATTTCACTGTACAGTGAAGTTAGTGTGTGTCCCCAGTTGGTATGAATTGAGTACTGTTCCCCTCCTTCACCATAGTATGTTCAGCTGTTTTCCTGACTGATTTGTTATATTTGCTGTATGGTCCTATGTAGTTGGTCCTATGCAGTGGCAAATACTTTTCTGAAGAGGAGGTGTATCTATTTTTAAGAACTGAGCAACAGCCTTTTTTTATACTCTAATGATCTGTATATTAATCGGGGTACTGGCCAAGCTACTATAACAGAGATCAGAAAGTATACTGGTTCAGCCAGATTATGTTTATTTCTTTTTTACATAATAATCCAGTTAGGTGGGCTGTCCAGGTGGGTGGAGAGTCCTGGTCCTTGAAGTCAGCCAGGTACCCCGGTTCATTCTGTCTTGTTACTCTGCCATCCCCATGAATATATATTCTCATCTACGTGATCACAACTGGTTCACAACACCGTGCTTAATTCCACGTAGCCTGGAGAAGGAAAGAGAAAAAAGGAATACACACTCAGTCATTTTAAGGGTGAAAAGCAGAAATTGCAAACATCACTTCTGCTCATGTCCCATGGCAAGAACTTAGTCACATAGCTACACTTTGCTGCAGGAGAAGCAGAAGCCTGCAGCCAGGTACCCAGCTAAAACTAAGGGGTTCTATTTCCAAGAGATAGTGGATAATGGGGATACTAGTTAGCAGTCTCAGCCACTGTTTCAAGTCTCCAAACTAAAGGAAAGGATACTTTTATTTCGTAGGTTTAAAAATAGATTTTATTTCTCAAAACATGAAGATACATAACTTTGTTTGCTGTTTTACTTTGTTTCTTCCACTAAGGGGCCCTTGTCTGTAACCTATAGTATATCCTTTTTGTCATCGTAGGAGACTTAGCCAGAGGCCTACAACTGAAGAGCTAGAGCAAAGAAATATCCTAAAACGTGAGTATCCTGTACAATACAATGATTCCTTGTATAGCCATTAACAGTCGCCCTCTAGAAACTCTTGTTTATCAGTAGGAAACCTGAATATATTAGTTTATTCATAACTGACTGAGATGGCCCATTTCAGTCCCATTTATATGAAGTTATATATGTTTTTTAAAAGATAATTTCTTGAATTTTGTGTTTCATCCTGTGACTTTGACCTCATATCTCCCAGACCAGAGTTGTGGTTCATGACAATTGTTTTTAAAGAAAGATGAAATATGTTCAATATATTCTTTCACCCAAATATTAAATAGAAGAAAATGCTGTCGTCTACTTGCAAATAAATGTCAAAGAAAAGGCCAAAGAATCCACAAAGAAAGAAATCAGACACCCTTGTATTATTAATAATAGTTTCTTGCTGGGTTTAAAAAATGTCTCAATCTAAAACAGAATTAAAGTAAAAAGAATTTTTCAATCCATTTCATGTTCCTTTGTTATAACTCTGCTTCCCTTTTGGGTTGTTTATGATTCCTTAGCATTTAAGGAGTTCTCCAGTCGTTTTCCCTTCTCTTTTTCACTGTATTGTCTTTGGCTTTATTTTTTACTCACCAGTCCAGTAGTGTCTTAAGTTACTGGAGTTAGTATTTTAAAACTATAAAACTATGAAACACAATTCATCACGCTATCGAGTATCAATGTGGTTGTTAACGAGTTGTCAGCGAGTTCAGTCGTGGATATTTTAAAATTGAGCCTAGCTGTAGTTTTATATAGTTTAATTTTGAAAATCTTAACCCAGTTTCAAAAGAGCTTTTTACTGTGTGAAATATTAAAGAGCAGGGATGGGCAAAACTCTGACTAATACTACAACAGTAATGAGCCACTGGCCTTAGGGAGAATCCTCTTGAACCAGGTTTTCAGAGTTAAGTTGGCCTGCCTGGATCATCCCTGTTCTCTTGTTTGAGTTGTTTTCTTTAACTGCATGTTTACACTGACAGTTGCTATTACTAAGGCAACCCAAAAATGTTTGGTTGTATATAATCCAGCTGTATTTTAAAAACAAAAAAACCCATTGCCATTGAGTTGATTCTGACTCATAGCAACCCTGTACGACAGAGTAGAACTGCCCCCACAGAGGTTCCAAGCCTGTAAATCTTTACAGAAGCCGACTGCCACATCTTTCTCCCGCAGAGTGGCTGGTAGGTTTGAACTGCAGACGTTTTTTATACAGAGTACTTACAAGAGAGAAAAGATACCGAAAAGTGAGAGAAACTGCTATCTACCCAATGTATAGGATTGCTTCCTTGAAGTGCTTTTTTCTGGCTCTTCGTGAACTTAACTGGAATAGAACTTTATATATTCCCAAGGAAGAAGTTAAGTGGCCATCAATGTGAAGAAGAGCCAATTTGGAAGAGGCACTAGTCATGGCTAGTAGGAAACAGATGTGTTTCAACTTTCCAAGGAAGGATGAAAACAACATCTAGTTTTGACAACAAAACAAGAAAGGCACATGGCTCTTGATAATAGGTGCCTGGAAAATATTTGTGGGATTAGTTTTAAGACAGCCCAAATGCAGACCATAAGCTCCTAAAACACAGAGATTATGTCTTACTGGATGCCTGGTGAAACATCTAGAAAAAACAGAGGGAGAGAGAAGTCTGGTTGATTGTTTCCTGCCCTGTGAGACAAACAGTGCCAAAACATGTGAGAATTTGATTATTTGAGGAACTGTTTCATAGACCAGGAAATTTATCACACACTGATCTTAAGTGCTGTGTCGGCTTTTATACCCCCTTCTTTCCTGGAGGCGTGAGAATGAGTGAAACACCAAAGGCAACTTAAGATTTGACTTCAGACCTTTTGTACTTCCTTCTCAGTTCACCTAAGCAAGGTTATTCTGGGAACAGATAACTCATTTCTAGTATGCAGAGGCTGATAACTGGCTCATGATCTCTAGATGTAATATATGGCCAAGGGAAGCAGAAAAGAGAACTGGTGAAGTCATCCCAGGCATTCCCATGAGCCGTCACAGTGTGCCAAAAAGCATAGCTTGCACTATTGTATCCCTTCACTCAGCCCTGTTTGCCTCTGCTATGTGTGATATAGTGTGACTTTTACAGACACTTACTTTAACTAAGTCACCTTTTCTAACATGCTAGGAAACTGATTCACAGCATAAAACATTCAGCGGTTCTCAAATCAGAGCCCATCACTGTTTTAATATACATAAATCAGATGACAGTAAATGATGATAGCTTAATTTGGAGACAACAGAACAAATTTTATTTCTTAGCCTCATTCTCGTATCATTCCTTAATTGATTTCTTTTGTCTTTTAATGCTAGAGTTTAAAATATAATATATATATTAAGGTAATACATATTATATATACATATAAACTATATATATATAATTTTGTTTAGTTACGCATTTTAGAACCACTTCCTTAAAATTGAAAAAATAGAAAGCAAGATTTTGTGCTTGAAAGGGAAGTGTTTGGCTCATCAGGAAAAGTAATGTATATGGAACAACTTTTATAGGACAGGGATATAAGATGTAGCTCCTCCTATACTATTTAGCTTGTGAATATAATTGCAGCTATATCTTCTACAGAGAAAAATATTTTATGCCATTGAGTTCTGCATATGTTCTTTCCCCAACATTTTGTTATGAAACTTTTTAAACATGCAGAAAAGTTGAAAGAATTTTACAATAAGCACCCATATGTCTACCATTCTACCATTATAGCATCTTACTTTATTGCATCTTGTGACCATAGCTATCCATTAATACATCTTATTTTTTATGCATTTCAAAATAAGTTTATAGGTGTATTTCAATATGTTAAAAACACCCATATGGAAACATGTAAAACAGCAAGAACAGAAACAAACCCACAAAAAAAAAAAAAGGTGGTCTTTTTGAACCCATCTTATCTGAATTGATTACTCAGGAATGTAATATTCCAGTTGCTAGTATTTCTGTGCTTTACTTTCTTCTCCTTTTAGCTCATCCACAAAATGCTCTGGGCAATACTTGCAACCAGGCAAGTTTCTTATAGTGTCCATCACTGTTAAACCAGGTCTATTTTTTGTTTAGGGAAAGCATTTCCTTGTGGTTCCAAAATGTTCACCCTGCTCTGCTCTGCTGAGAGTTAGTGGGGGCAAAATTTGTCAGTGAGCCATGTCATTTCCTTCACTGACATCTCTCCAGTTTGTTTAAAGTGACCAGAAGAGTTTACATCCTAATAGTAGCCTCTCTAATAAATCAAAAATTGAAGGAAATATTTTTTTAAAAAGGTGAATTTTTAAAAAAGAAGTTTAGGGTTTAACCTTGACTCTTTGTAAGAGATTTCACAAAAACTATACTTAATAAGATTCAGAAGAACAGTCACGCTGGCTTCCCTCCACTTCTCCTCCTCTCTAGCTTGTTTAGAAGCAGAATTTTGAACATGGGAAATGTAAGGAAGTAATTTCCTGATGTCAAAAAAGAATTCCCAGATGGTAAAATCCTGTTTACTTACCTCTGGTAACTGCGATTGGCCTTTTTTTTTTTTTAAACATAATTGGCTGTCACCTAGTTGTGTAATACACATAAAAAGGCAAAACTATGTAATATCCCCTTCAAGGAAATGACATTTTGTGTAGTTAGTGAAAATTGGCGCATTTGTTAGCTTCGGGGGATTAGATATGCAGCTTTTTTGTCTTTGGAAAGTACTTTTAAAAATGAAGCATAATTATTCTATAGGAAGAATTTACTAAAATGTTTTAAGGGTTGTATTTTTCTATTTATTAATAATACAATCAAAGCCCTCACTTGTGAAGTCTTCTTCTGAATTTCACATGAACCACAAATTTGGAGTTTTTGTCTATTATTTATAATTAACAATTCATAAGCATTATCCAATTCATAAAAGGTAATTATTTGATCCTAAGGATGTATTTCAAGGATAACAAAGGATATATATTTTGTGAAACAATTATTAAAACCTACAGGTATTTTCATAGGAAGAAATTTGAATTATAACCAAATTTGTTTGACATTCATAGGCACTTAACGAAGGGATAATAACTAGTTATTGTTTCTTCTCTTGTAGGGTGATTTCAGTTCATCTTCAGTTTTTGTCTAAATAATCAGGACTGATCATACTCTTTCTTATGAATTAAAATTAATATTTGAGAAGAGTGTAGAAACTTTTCCCTGTCCAGATGAGGAAAATTAATGGAGAATTTAGCATATTCAAATAATATATGCAAATGTTGCAAATAAAGAATACTGCTCTTTTATTCACAATAAAAATAATTTTAGTATAAGAAGGCTATTTGAATTTTAAAAAGACATATAATTACCTTTCCACAGAAAAGATTTTTTTTTTCAACATTTTTGGTTGAGCCTTTGTGTAGTATGATTGATGTACCTTCAATAGAGGTCATAACAACACCTTCTAGAAGATAATCTTTCACAAGCATTGGTATCTGAGAAATAAAATCTGTGCTCATTTATAGAACAAATGATAAGTGACAGGAGCAACAGAGAGTAGTTCATCTAATAAGCAACCATTAAAATCTAAAGGGGTATTTATTTCTTTTAAAATTCTGGACGTTTTTCTTTTAATCCCATTTTTTGATAGCATTCATTTAAATTGGCCATTAAATTGTACTGCTCAGCCAAACACTAGAGAAGTCAAAGTTATAAGAAAAGACGTAATCTCCATCAACAGTACACCTCACTTTATTCAGAACATTCTGGTTTGAAAGCAAAGTACAAAAAAATTATTACATTCGGCTTCTATCTGGGAAACCAGGGTAGACAAATCATGCGTTCTGGTTGGATTTGAATGGAAATCAGCAGCTTGGACATGTGTCGGATGGTTCTAATTTGTTCTTTTGATATGTTTTAGATTTTCACATGAAGGCCAGATCTAGAAGTAAATTTTTATCTGAGATCTGGTATATTGTGCTTGTAGGCCATGAAATGGGAGGCAATAAAAAGCTTTTGCCAGAGTATGGGTACTCTCGTGGTTGTTTCAGAATGGAACAAGGCATCAGGAAGCAAAAACGTTTAAAATTGGTAAAGTAAACCAGCCCTACAAGAAAAAAAATTTATATATATTTTTTAATATTTATATATATAAATGTATTATATATATATATACACACACAAACATGTATATACACATATATGTATGTGTGTATATATACATACATATATATGAATTAGTAATCAGTCTTTCTGTAGAATCTTGTGACAACTTTTAAAATATTTTACAGGAATAGTTGATCAATATGTGTTAGAGGTCAGTTAACTGTGGCCTGATCTATTTTTCTTATTATAAATATCATCTATAGTAACTAAGTCATCATGCCTTTTCCCTCTGTTACAGAAAAGAATGAAGAAGAAGAACAGGAAGCAAAAATGGAACTTAAACGCAGACTCAGCAGAAAGGTGATGGAACTGTGACGATTAATGAACATGTGTGTTTTGAGATGTACTTTATGTTTAAATTCTGATCAGTTCTTTACATGTAAATCTAATAGTTAGGAATAATTTTTCCTATTAGTCTACTAAATATTCATAGGTATTAAAATCAATGTAATAAATTCAATGTGAATTATGTTTATAGTTATAATTGCATAGTATGTTAATTTTGAAAAGAGAAAATCAAAAGTTTTTTTAATTGCATGTACTGATTATAAAATTGACATATATTCTTTTTTTCTCTTAATTTCATTTTTTTTAACTGTACTTTAGATGAAGGTTTACAAAACAAACTAGCAGCTCACTAAACAGTTAATACACATACTGTTTTGTGACGTTGGTTACCAACCCATGACATGTCAACACTGTCCCTTCTCAACCTTGGTTTCCCTATTACCAGCTTTCCTGTCCCCTCTTGGCTTCTAGTCCTTGCCCCTGGGCTGGTGTGCCTCTTTTGCCTCGTTTTGTTTTTATGGGCCTATCTAATCTTTGGCTGAAGGGTGAACCTCAAGAGTGACTTCATTACTGAGCTAAAAGGGTGTCTGGGGCCATACTCTCGGGGTTTCTCCAGTCTCTGTCAGACCAGTAAATCTAGTCTTTTTTGTGTGTGTTGGAATTTTGTTGTACATTTTTCTCCAGCTCTGTCCAGGACCATCTGTTAAAATTGACGTATATTCTGTCTGGATTTTTTTGAAAATATAAAAAGAAACAAAAAAATAAATTCACACAAAAGTCTTCCGTCCAAAGATAGCCATTATTAACATTTCAATGTATAGTATTTCCAATGTTTAAAAAATTTTATTGTTGTAATATATAATGAAAAACTTGCCATTTTCAAGGGTACAATTCAGTGTCATTAATTGCGTTCACCATGTTGTATAACTTTCACCACTGTGTCTTTCCAAGTTTTTCATCACCCTGAACAGAAACTCAGTACCCATTAGGCAGTAACTCCCCATTGCCTGCTCCCCTAGCCCAATTTTAATTTTATATTTTTAATTTTAAAAATAGTTTTCAAAAGTGTTCATGCTTTCCATGTAGTCTTGGAAACATTAGGTAAGTGCTGTGTTACTACTGGAGATGTTGCCACTATTCTTAGCAGAGCTAAGTGAGTAATTTATTAAGTAAACTTGATCATCTGGCCTGCCTGGTACAGTGCTACCCAAATTGACAAATGACTGTACCTCCAAAACGCAGAAAATTCTTCTCTCTTGTTAATGAAAATATAAATCTGATTCCATTGCCATCACTTTTTTTTATAGATGTTAAAATAATAATAGTTTTGAAAAATTAAGCACTATCAGAGTTTATATCACATTATAAATCCTCGTTTGGTAATTCTTCAGACATACCTATTGCCTTCCACACTTGGAAGAGGTCAGGGTGACTAACATATGGCATCTGCAGCAAAATGTGTGACCTGACCCACATTATGTGGGCTGGCTGGGGGGTCTGCAGCAAAGCATTCTGAGGCGAGTGGCGGAAACATTACATCCGTACAGGAAAGTTATTGGGACTGCATTTTGAGAGTTTTTGTCTGTTTTCAGGTCCAAAGATCCTTAATTATTTTCTCAAAGCCCCTATAAGTCAAATAATGATCAAGGTGTAATCTGAATGTCCAAGGGCTGGCTCTTCTGGGACTCAGTGGTCCTTGAGTTACCACTGCAGACAAGCACTTTCCCCTTCTCATTGCTCCAGGCTCACCTCTGCCATACGTAGAGTTAAAACTGAGTGTTGGTGAGGCAGCAGCCCCTGTCCTTATCTTCCATGCCCTTTTGCCTGTGCCACACAGAGCTCCCTGTCATAGATGCAGGACAGCCCATGAACAAGCGTTTCTCTACTTATCCCCACCAGCCCTAGAAAGGCAGCAGGAAGCTAGCAATACAGATTGGAGAGCAACGAAGAATATAACAGAAAAATCTGATTATTCTTTCCTTTGCCCATGGCCTGCCAGGGCTTGATAAAGATGGAAGGGGCTGCAGTTGCCATGTCCCTGCTCAGGGCATGGGCTCAAGTTGTGGGCTCAGGCCTTCTAAGAGTCCTTGAATGCTTTGATTATTAGAGCATTTACTTAGTCTACTTGCTTATTTTACTTAGGAGGAACCCAAAACCCGGGAAAATGGATGCTGTTGATCACAGAGTATAGTCCAGTGTACCATCCTAGATCCAATGTAAATAAAGAATAGCTCCAAAGAAGACCTCTTACGCAATGGGTTGTCTGGCTCTATACAGAGTACCTACAAGAGAGAAAAGATACTGAAAATGGACCTTACGGGAGAAATAGCAGCCCAGGTCTACCTTTCTGAAAATACTATGACATCTCCCAACTGAGAAATTCCACAAAATGATGAACCTCAATAGCAGAGTGGGTGATGCCTGTCAACCTAGGAGCCAGGTTTCTTTCGTCTCTCAGTACCATTTCTGTCTTCTTCTTGGGCTTTAGAAAGGACAAAGAGAAGAAAACTTAGACACAAAGGGCTGAGTAGGTTAAACATTATTATAAATTTGAATTTGATAAAGACCACGAGGAGGAACCCGAGTTATTAGAAGTATGTTACAGGTTGCAGTTGACTTTAAGCTGTTCTGGTTCTACTCAACTGCAGTTTTCCATCTGGGCAATGGAAAAGGCCTCTAGCAACATTCCCTTCCTGGTGCCTGCATATCCACTTTTCTGGTCAAGGAGAAATGTGAGATCGGCATCTGGGTCTTTATTCTCAGAAGGAAAGCTATGCTGTAGACACACCCTTCACTGGACCGTTTCAACTCGTAGTGACCCCATGTCAATTTCAACTCGTAATGACCCCATGTGACAAAGTAAAACTGCCCCATGGGGATTTCTAGGCTGTAATCTTTACGGGAGCAGATTGCCAGGTCTTTCTCCTGTGGAGCCACTGGGTAGGTTTGAACCACCTACCTTTTGATTAGCAGCCAAGTACTTAACCGTTGTGCCACCAGAGCTCCTTTCCTTTGTCGTAACTCTGTGCATCTCCATGTATAGGTTTGATATAATTGTATTCTCATCTCTAAAAGTTTCAGGGCTTTTGTCTTGATAACTCCATCTTCCAACCAGCCATCCTATACCTGGATTACAATTGTGTCTGTGTCACTGTATGTTCCCTGTGTCAGGCATAACAGACAGGCCTTCATCACAGTGCCAGGCAAGGCGGGAAAATCGCATAATGCATTTGGTTGCCAGAGACTGTGACCTATCTAACAATGATGATTTTTATAGTCACAAAAATTAGGGCACTTTGCTTTCTAGTTCTCATTAGAAATTCCCTAGATGCTGCTGCCTTTTTTTTTTTTTTTTTTTGTTACCTGAATGTGACCTTATTTAGCCATAACTTTGAAGTGTTCTCTATAAAAAACTTGCCACCCTGAGGCTGCAAATGTTTGCTGAACTCTTCCTTTTCTCTCTGTCCTCCTGCAGCTCAGCCTGAGACCCACAGTGGCAGAGTTACAAGCACGAAGAATCCTGCGGTTTAATGAGTATGTAGAAGTCACCGATTCCCCAGACTATGATCGCCGGGCAGACAAACCCTGGGCCAGGTTAACACCTGCGGACAAGGCAAGAATCACAATGGCTTTATTTATGATTTTTTTGCTTTTCTAAAAGCCTCATACCCCCCACTTAGTCATCCTAGAAGGCTAGAGCTTACCAAATATTCCAGCAATTTTCTGCCTCTGATTATTTAAGCCACTTAAGTGATTTATTTAGTAATAGCGATATAGTTCTTTCATCCAAGTCTCAGAGAATACCAGTTTTTAGTTACCATGTAACCTGCCTGCATTCAAATTTAGATGGGGAGGGCTTTGGCGTAGCCATGATTTATTTTTCTCTTAAAAATACAACTTATACAAATTATTATTTTAAAAATCATGTGCTAATTGTAGAAAAGGTATTGATCTATTTCAGGACTGGCACTCTGTTTGTGTAAAAGGCCAGAGGGGAAATATTTTGGGTTTATGTAGCTCAGCTCTGCCATTGTAGCTTGAAGTCAACCCTAGACAATATGCAAATGAATAGGCCCGGCTGTGTTCAAATAAAACTTATTTACAAAAATGGCCATATTTGGTCCATGCATCATGGTTTACCAAGCCGTATCATAGCTCACAATTCAGAAAAACTGAACTATTTAGAGGTTCCAACATGGAGAAAGACTATTATCTTATGAGTACTATGGCTCCATAGCCAAAGGTATATGACAACTATTTCTTTTTAAATTCTTCAGTATCACAAATAATGATGTGTAATGTTTATCTCTAAGCAAAATTTAGTATTAAGTAAACTCTTGTACTACACTCAGTCTTAATGCATTCATACTGATGCGTTTTAATAGGAGGTTTCATTTTGTAAAGTACCTACTATGTGTGAAACACGTACGGGACATGTATATTTAGAAATCATCAGCTCCTAAGTAGAAATGAAAACTAGGAAGGAAATACGATCACTGTCTTAGTTATCTAGTGCTGCTATAACAGAAATACCAAAAGTGGATGGCTTTAACAAAGAGAAATTTAGGAGGCTAGAAATCCAAATTCAGGGCACCAGCTCCAGGGGAAGGCTTTCTCTCTCTCTGTCGGCTCTGGAGGGAAGGTCCTTGTCATCATTTCTTCCCCTGCTTTCTTGGTGGTAGGAGGTCTCTCTCCTCTCTGCTCGGTTCTCTCTTTTATATCTCAAAAGAGATTGACTCAAGATATAACCTAATCCTGTAGACTGAGTCCTGTATCATTAACATAGCTGCCTCTAATCCTGCCTCATTAATATCATAGAAGTTAGAATTTATAACACATAGGGTAATCACATCAAATCACAAAATGGTGGCCGACCACACAATACTAGGAATCATGGCTTAGCCAACTTAACACACATTTTTGGGGGACACAGTTCAATCCATGACAATAACAGAAGAAGAATGTACTTAATGAGAATAGATGGGAAGGGGGCTGAGACTAGCACACCCGTCATTCCTGGCTGCCCACCCCTCACGCCCAGGTCTCCAGTAAACAGTCATGGGGTGTGAAAAACACGTCTCCTTTGGGAGCCTCTTTCCAACCGGTGTGCATTGTAGCTAAGACCATTCAGTGTGGTTTATCCTGAGCACAAGTCTCAACCAGCAGCTCTCTCCTCTTCTCTTTTCTACTTCGTAGTTCATTTTGAGTGGTTTCTCATTCTCTATCTACATTCCTTTCTGCACTTTCTCATTTCTGTTAAACAGCAATGGGCTTTTAATTAGGACTCCATGTGGTACCTGATGCCCCGCAAAGAAATACAAGGCTTTGGGTCAGATATAGTCTCTATGGTGAGTGTTAACAGTGGATAATATTTCAACTCTAACCCTAACAGGCCTTGTCTTATACATTCTCCTGGCATTTTTTTTCCTTTTATTTTTTCAGTTGTGAAATATATCACATATGGCAAAGAATGTATAAAACTAATGTACAGTTTAAATAATAAAAATGAAACACCTGTCTTATTAATCCCTACCACCTAGAAGAAGTCCCTTGGTGGTGCAAACAGTTAACGTGCTCGGTGGCTAACTCAAAGATTGGAGGTTGGAATCCACTCAGAGGCACCTTGGAAGAAAGGACTGGTAATCTACTTCAAAAATTAGCCATCAAAAACCCTAGAGATTACAGTTCTACTCTTGACACGTGGGGTCGCCATGAGTCAGAGTCAACTCAGTGGCAACTGATACTAGTTACCACCCTGAAGAACTTTACTAGAACAATACTAATACCTCAAAAAGGCCCTGTGTACTCCTCCTCAATTGTATTCCCCTCGCTGCTGCAAAGAATAACTGCTATCCCTACTTTTTGCTAAGCATTTCTTTTTTTTTAAAACAGTTTAGCCACCTTCATATATATCGCTAAACAAATATATATACATATGTGTATTTGTTTTGCCTGTTTTTGAGCTTTATGTAATTGGAACCGTAAAGCATTCTTCTGGGTGTTGCTTCATTCAACCAACATTAAACAATCTGTATTGATGCACTAAGCTATAGTTTATTCCTTTTCACTGAAATACAATATTTCATTGCCTGAATAAGCTACAAAGTAATTATTCGTTCAATTGTTGATGATCATTTAGTTTCCAGATTGTAGTTTTACAGGCAACATTCCTGTGATGATTCTTGTACATGTCTTCAGGTACACCTGTACAAGAGTTTTCCTAGCATCTGCTCTTTGTGATTAAACTGCTGAGTCGTGGGGAATGTGAATGTTCAGCTAGGCTAGACAGTGTCAGCCGGTTTCCGTGTTGGTTCAGCAAACCCTCCCACCAGCAAGGATAAATGATTAACCACCCTCAAATGGAGACAGAATTTTCCTCACCCTAGAGATATCCCTTCCCAACTGTTTTTTAATTGTTGGAAAGTAAAGCTTGTTCATCTCTGGCTATAACAGAGAAGATTTTTCTTTTTAATTTTGTATTGAAACAAAATAGGTTTTTGTACTGGACTTCTAGGCTATAGGGGAGATGTGCTTGGTTAGGTTTTCTGGTACAGGGTGAGTTTCTCTCCAGAGGTTCTTTGAAGACACAGCTTTTGTACCTTCCCTTCAGGTGGAACCCTGAGCCCCAGAGCACAGCCAGAGTCACTCCCTGCTCACATGTGAGGCTGCTGTTCATTTTCTTCCCCAACAGTGTTTCTCACATTTCTTATGAGACTTTTTAAGATACAGAAGACAGCATTTTTAGAACTAGACTTTTAATTTTTTCCCTCAGAGGAAAAATAAGAGGAATAACTCCTTTTTAGATAGAAAAATATTGTATACTTTTTTCCTATAGAATATAGAAAAAATGCAACAATTTAAAATGCTATAGTCATTTTTCGGTAAATTTTTTAAATGAATATGGATTGCCTTTAGTCATGTCTTTTTTATTTTGTTTTTTCTTCACAAAACCAGCCCCTATCATTTCACATCACGTCCATTACCTATAACTGACTGTAATCTAACATCAGAAATTGTCTAAATTCATGAAGGGTAAGAATGAGAATCAGCACAAAGTTGGTCCCTATGAGGTGGAGGTTTTTTTCACCATTTCTAACACCAGCCATCCGAATCCCACCCTACCACCCACTCCACCCAACCCCCCACAGCAGTCTCTACTTCTCTGCTAGGTTTGATAATTCATTGCAATGGCCACACAGAACTCACAGACCATACTCAAGGTTGTATGGTTTATTAGGGAAGTAACAGGTTACAACCTGGGATCAGAATCAACTTGGAAGTAACAGGAACAACTCAGGATCAGGTCAGGAAGCACATAGGTGAGGTTTGGAAGTCTCCCCCGAGGTGGAGAGTACATCCCTCCCTCCTTCAGCGTAGGTCAGCTTCCAACCAGGATGGCTCTCGGTTGCTCTCTGCAGTGCTAGCAAGCCTCTCAGGCCCCCTCTCTGATGTGCAAGCAGTCCTCCTCCAGGCCGTGCAAGCAGGCCCCCTTGGCCATGCATACTCCCTTTTGGCCATGCATGGCATCTCTGCCTTTGGCCTCCCCACCACTGGCCTCTCTGTTGCTAACTGGCCCAGCTCATAGCCAGTCTAACAGCTTGCTCAGCTCTGTATGCCCTCTCAGCTCTCTGCCTCTGCCACTGGGCCCCTCTGGACCACTCTGCTGTCACACCTCTTCCGGGCTGCTCACTGTCTTCAGTATTACAGCCCTTTATCAATCTTACAGCTCTTTTAAGAGGTTCCCCTTGCAGGAACCCTGGGTCCAAACCGCTCCACTCCAGGCTGTTCTTGGTCTTGAGGTTCCCTGTTCCCCTCTCTCTCTAAACCTCTCTGGGGCTGGCCACTTATATAAGCAAACTCCTTGTCAATTTCGAAGAATGACCCTCCCAGCAGGACCACAAACCCACCAATCCCCTTGTTGAACTGCAAGTCATTCCATCTTTTTGGGTGGATTTTCAAGCCACTATTTGAATAGTAAAGCCACCAGTCCCTGCCAGGTGCATAAAATAGACTAATCACAGGGCAGACTGCAGTCCAGGGCCAGACAAAAAGTATCAAACCATCATGTTTTTTTACAGTTTATCCAGGAAATTTCAATCAATCTGAGAAGTTTCCTGAACAGTAACAAACCCTCTGGGGTAGAAAACAACATGGGAGCCTTCCCCTCCCCACAAGTTGCTTCTCCAAAGAACTAGGGCAAAGGTAGCTCCTCAGGGTTTAGGGGAAAAATTGCCCAAGCTGTTTTTCCAAATAACCAAGGCAAAAGGCCACATAAAGGAACTCATTTTACCCCACCGACTCATTATTTCTAATTATAAACCATCACAACATGGTCCATATGACTAACTGGCTCTCTAGAAAAAAATGCATGCATATGTATACGGTCATAAGTGAATTGCAATTTTATTAACATAAAAGACACAATTTCGACTCCCTGGGTAGTATAAATGGTTAACATACTCAGCTGCTAACCAAAACTCAAGTCCACCCAGAGACGCCTCAGATGAAAGGCCTGGCAGTATTCTGAAAAATCAGCCACTGAAAATCTTATGGAACAGAGTTCTATTCTGATACACATGGGGTCGCCATGAGTTGTAATCAACTCAATGGCAACTGGTTAGAACACAGTTTATAAGTAAAAATAAAATATATAGTTCTCTTTATTATAAATTTCATATCACAATTGATTCTTACAGAATGCTTTCATTGATTTGCCAGACTCTAGTAGTCAACCTACTATTGAGAATAAGGAATTTGCTTTATTTATGTTTGAGTTCCCTTCAGGGATATCTTCTTACACATAGTAGACTCTCTATAAATAAAAATGAAATCATTGTTAGTCACAATCACAAACTAAAATTTAGTTTATTTAAAACCTCATAATAATGACATTTTATGAAGACTTCATAGTGTACAAAGCACTTTCAAATATTCTCTTAATTCTCATAATAGTGTGAGGAATTCTCATCCCCATTTTCCAGATGGAAAAACAGGTTTTGGAGTGATAAACTCACTCACTGAGGGTGTCACCATTATTGAGGCATAGCCAAGACTAGAATCCAAGTCCTCTGACTCCAGGTGCACTACTTTTTACTTCTTCTACTGAAACCTTACGTTTGGAGGAAAAATTTAAAATGAACATAGAGATAGGCCTCTCCCCCAACCAGGATCCCAATGAAAATACCTCTTTCAAGAAAGAATTTCTGCTAGATGTTAGTTGGGGATTGGTACAGTTCAGCTTCACTATGTGGGCTCCTGGTACTAGGTAGTGGTTTTTACAGTGAGCAAAATTAGTTGTCCTCACAGGGGATATGACTTGTGAGACAAGTTGAGCAACTGTGTCACAGGGACACAGGCCTGCAAATATTTCTCTGCTTGCTTTGTTTCTTGCAAAAGTCAGTAACAAGAATTATTGCCATAGGCTCCCCATAGAAACTACAGGGGCTGAAGAGACAAAATGTGGCGCAAGGGTCTAAATATAAAGTTGAAAGGAGCTTTGGGGGAAAAGCTTGCATATCGCAGAATGGCAGTTAGTCCTGGGAGAAAGCCAGAGAGAGAAGCTTCAGGGCTTTTTTCTCTCTTTTGCCTTTTCTAAAATTCATCATTTTCCAGCCATACGGTAGATTTTCTTATCTCTCAGTGAAGTCACTCTCTGTGACTTGTATTGTCATTCCATGTTTTGACTGAAAAATTCATTTTGCATAGAGGTTACAGAGATGTTTTTATTAGTACATTTTTTATGTGAGTGACATGTTCCTTGCAAAAAAAAATTAGGAAATAAAGATAAACAAAAAGTTGAAACCAAAGACCATCCATAACCCTGGCAGTACTGTTAACAGATAACTAATGTTAATATTTTGATGAGTATCTCAGCTTTTCAAGCTGAATTACATAAGCATTTCTTCGAACTCCAAAATTTACATGATGTGGATTACGTTTTCACTGAATTGTAACACAACCTCGTTTATATTTTCTTTGAGTAGCTTTAAGTGCTGTACTGAAATTTTTAAGTTCTGTTTGTCTAACCTCTGAATATTAAAGAATAACAACTACCTTCTCGATAGCATCATGGCAGTTAGTCAGCCCATGATGTTGTGGGCAGTATTAATTTCAGGAATTTTGTTGGAAAATGACATTGTGTCTTAGAAAGTCTCGTGATCTGCACTTTCTATGTGATCATCAGGGGTTGGGAATGCTCATAGATGAGGCCCAAGGATGAGTTTAGCAAAGGCCCTGTTCCTCTCCGCCTTGTCAGTGACACTTGACACGTATCCTGGGTTTAGTTTGGTTGCGGTATGAAATTACACTTATCAGACGGTCTTAGTTTCCTAGTGCTGCTGTAACACAAATATCACACGTGAATGGCTTTAAAAAACAGAAATTTATTTTCTGGGGACAATTCTGGAGGCTAAAAGTCCAAATCAGGGTCTCGGCTGTGTGGATTACTTCCTTGTCAGTAGCCCTGGGCGTTCCTTGGTTCCCTGGCGTTCTTTAGCTTGTAGATGATGCTCAGATGGCGTCTGTCTTTCCCCGTGTGTGTGACTTCTGCCAGAATATCTATTTATAGTCCAGAGGCAGAACACATGCCTTGGAAACTCCCTTTTCAACTGATTGATGGATTACATTACGTTAGATTACATCATGGAAGGTAATCTGCTCCGCCCAAAGCCAGCTGATTCAATCACATGTAACTACTCCATAATAGCAACTAGACTGATGTTTGGTCAGACAACTGGGAACCATAGCCTAGCCAAGTTGATACGTAAAATTAACGACCACACATACCTTTGCTTGGTAGAAGTTAGGAAGCCCTCTCTTTCTACAGGACATTTCTTAAAAGTGTGTCTGCTTCATTGCTGTATATGCTGAGGGAATATGTGACCTAAGTAACAGTTCTTTTTACCTACTTTTTTTTCCTGTTTAGGCAGCAATAAGGAAAGAACTAAATGAATTTAAAAGCACAGAAATGGAAGTTCATGAAGAGAGTCGACAGTTTACAAGGTAGGTAGACGTAACACAATTTAGGGTAAAACCATCTAACGAAGACATTCTGCCTCTCCCATATTCATCCTGGTTTGCTTTACTGATAACCTAATAGTCAGTGTGGCAGTTTTAAAGATATGACTAGATACGATTATAAATTTCTAGGTTTTCATAATAAACTAAGATACCTCTTTTAATAACACTAAAAATAAATCACCCCTGAATAAATTTCTAACATTAAATATTTTTTTCTTTCAAAGAATTCTGAATCACTTTAAAGGGCTACATTTTTGTTTCTTTTTCCTTACTTCTTAGTTTCATTTTCTGGGCCAGAAGATAAGCATCAACATTATTGATTCTGCATTTGAACAGATTCAGTTGAAGTTTTATGCCCAGAACAGGTACTGGTGAGAGTCAGTGTGGGCACTTATGTGTCTGCTTTGGGCTCACAGTAGACATAACTTAGAGAGGATAGAAACTCAATTTTCAGAACCATAACTTAGAATAGGAATCCAATTTTTACCTGTACCACCTTAAATTGCTATGATCCTACCATCTTTCCTCCCAGCAGCCTTCACTTTTACAGGCTATTAAAACTGAAAGGGATCTTAGCAATCACATATCTGACCCCTACACTCTACAGGTGTTGTTCTGTTTATTGATATCTCATAGATTTATATGCTTTGCTTTCTAAAAATTAGCATGCAAATCAAATCTTTAAAAATGGAATTGTAAACCGTACCAAAACAGATGATTACATGAAGAAGACCACAGTAATTCTTTTTGGAAAACAAATAGCTTCTAGGCTAGAAATGTCCTCTTCAGGGCCCCCATATGTCATGGTGCTTCTGTATCTGCAGTCGTACCTGTGGGTGGTGTTGCTGTGTGCTGAACAAATTTCAGCTGAGCTTCCAGACTAAGATGTACCAGGAAGAAAGGCCTGGCAATCTACTTCAAAAAATCAGCCAGTGAAAGCCCTATGGATCACAATGGTCAGATTCACAGCCAATCAGGGGGATGGCACAGGACTGGGCAGAGTTTCATTCAGTTGTGCATGGGCTCTCCATGAGTTGGGGAGACTTAACAGCAGCTAGCAACAACATATTTCAAGAGAGTAATTTCACTTATTTTTTCCTAAATCAGTAGTTACTCCAATGTCATTTACTTCCCCATGGATATGAAATTCATCTTTTAATGTACATGTGGGTCAGTTTCTAGATTCTTTATTATATTCTAATGAGCTGTTTGCCTATCTCTGCATCAAGTCACACTGTTTATTTAGAATACATTTGTAGTACATTTTTATATCTGATGGGGTGGTTTTTTACCTTCAAAATTCTGTTGCCTATTTTTCTGTATTTACTTGTCTAGAAGAAACTTAGGATATGCTTGTTATGTTCCATGAATTATTCTGTTGATATCTTGATTGAGTAAATATATTAATAGATACAAATAGGAATGAACTGCATTTCATGAGAAAATGTTGTTTTGGTGGGTTTGTTTTTCTTTGTTTTTGGTAAAAGTTAATATCAAAGATAAACTTTAAAATTTTCCAAAAATATATTGATTAACAAGCACTGTGTAAAATTTCTTTCCAGATAAGGAAAAATTAAATATTCATAGCACTAAGATAAATACATCTTGCTTAAGTATTCATAAAGATTTGGCAGTAAAGCACGGGTCTACTGCTGTTTTTCCATTCATTTATATTACATCATGAGAGTTGTGTTCCAGCGGGGAAATATTTTGGCTCTGAGATTTATGAAAATCATGCTGGTGATTTTAAAAATTGTTTTCAATATTCTTTTTAAGAGGAAAAAAGTTTTGGTAAATACAGCTGTTTCTAATCAAAATAATACAAAAATATGATAATGTTTTGCATATAGAAAATTGCTAGGATAGAAGATAGTGGTGCCCCTCCCACCAGCTGCCCTCGGAGGGAATAAACATGCAGTGAATCATTACCTGGCTCTATAAATACAACCTAGATCCAGAGCCGCCCTTCTTTCTTCTTATTAGCACCAGACATTATCTCCCTATACCAAGTAAGCCTTCCCTTCAAAACCTAAAATCTGCTAACTCCCTGTGGATTTGGGGTAGTTGATTACTGGGTTGAAGCGGCCTCATTCTCTCTCCACGGGCACCACTTGATCCAGAGATAGTCTCCCACCCAGTGATGTATTAGTGAGCATTAGAAAGATTCCCATATATAGCTTCTTTTGCTTCTCTATCTCTGGAGAGAGATGCAAAAACCTGGTAACATTGGCAGCCTCTGGGGAGGGGAACTGGGTGGCTGGGGGAAGGCACAGGAGGGATACTTTTCACTACTCACCCCTTTGAACCTTTTGAATTTTTGAAACATAAGGATTTATTACCTGGTCATAAAAAAAAAAGTTATTGTTGTAGTTTAGATGAAGTTTACTTTTCAAGTTAGTCTCCCATACAAAAATTTATACAGACATTGTTATGTGACCCTAATTGCTCTCCCCATACTGTAACAGCACACTCCTCCTTTCCACCCCTGATCCCCTGTGTCCATTCAACCAGTTCCTAACCCTCTCTTCCTTCCAATTTCTCCTCCAGACAGAAACTGCCCGTTTAGTCTTTTGTATCTACTTGAGCTAAGAGGCACACTCCTCACGAGTATTCCCTTATGTCCCACAGTCCAGTCCAATCCCTGTCTGAAGAGCTCACCTTGGAAATTTAGTTCTGGGCTGCTAGAGAATCTGGGGGCCACGCTTTCCGGGATTCCTCCAGTCTCAGTCAGACGATTCAGTCTGATCTTACTAGAATTTGAGTTCTGCACCCCACCTTTCTTCTGCTCCATCCGGGACTCTGTCGTGTTCCCTGTCAGGGCGGTCATTGGTGGTAGCCAGGCACCATCTAGTTCTTCTGGTCTCAGGCTGATGAAGTCTCTGGTTTATGTGGCCCTTTCTGTCTCTTGGGTTAATACTTTCCTGTGTCTCTGGTGTTCTTCATTCTACTCTACTCCAGGTGGTTGGGACCATTTGATGCATCTTAGAGGGCCACTTGCAAGCTTTTAAGACCCCAGATGCTACTCACCAAAGTAGGATGCAGAACGTTTTCTTAATAAGCTTTGTTATGCCAGTTGACCTCGATGTCCCTTGGAAGCATGGTCCCCAGACCCCTACCCCTGCTACTCTGTCCCTCAAAGTGTTTGATTGTATTCAGGAAACTTCTTAGCTTTGGTTTAGTCCAGTTGAGCTGACTTCCCCTGTAGTGTGTGCTGTCCTTCCCTTCACCTAAGATAATTCTTATCTACTATTTAGTTAGTAAATAAACTTTCCCCTCCCTCCCCACCCTCGTAACCATCAAAGAATGTTTTCTTCTGTGTTTAAACCTTTTCTTGAGTTCTTATAATAGTGGTCTCATACAATATTTGTCCTTCTGTGACTGACTAAATTCACTCAGCATAATGACCTCCAGCTTCCTCCATGTTATGTTTCATGGCTTCATCATTGTTCTTTATTGTTGCGTAGTATTCCACTGTGTGGATATACGATAATTTGTTTATCCATTTGCACGTTGATGGACACCTACGTTGTTTCCATCTTTTTGCTATTGTGAGCAGTGCTGCGATGAACATGGGTGTGCATATATCTGTTTGTGTTACGGCTCTTATTTCTCTAGGATATATTCCAAGGAGTGGGATAGCTGGATTGTATGGTACTTCTATTTCTAGCTTTTTAAGGAAGCGCCAAATCAATTTCGAAAGTGGTTGTACCATTTTACATTCCTACCAACAATGTATAAGTATTCCAGTCTGTCCACAACCTCTCCAGCGTTTACTATTTTGTGTTTTTTGGATTAATGCTAGCCTCACTGGGGTGAGATAATATCTCATTGTAGTTTTGATCTGCATTTTTCTAATGTCTAATGATCGTGAGCATTTCTTCATGTGTCTTTTAGCCACCTGAATATCTTCTTTGGCAAAGTGCCTGTTCATATCCTTTGCCCATTTTTGAATTGGGTTATTTGTCTTATTGTTGTTGAGGTTTTGCAGTATCTTGTAGATTTTAGAGATTAGACCTGATCGGATTTATCGTAGCCAAAATTTTTTTCCCAGTCTCTAAGTTGTCTTTTCACTCTTTTCGTGAAGTCTTTTGATGAGCATAAGTGTTTGATTTTTAGAAGCTTACATTTATCTACTATCTCTTCTGATGCTTGTGCATTGTTACTTACGGTTCATAATGTGTTTATGCCATGTATTAGGGCTCCTAGCATTGTCCCTATTTTATCTTCCATGATCTTTATCATTTTCGATTTTATGTTTAAGTCTTTGATCCATGTTGAGTTAGTTTTTGTGCATGGTGTGAGGTATGGGTCTTGTTTCAGTATTTTGCAGATGGAAATCCAGTTATGCCAGCACCGTTTGTTAAAGAGACTGTCTTTTCCCCAACTAATGGACTTTGGGCCTTTGTCAAATATCAGCTGCTCATAGGTGGATGAATTTATGTCTGGATTCTCAATTCTGTTCCACTGGTCTATGTATTCGTTG